TGAGCTGCCACGGATGGTGAGGGTGTTCTGGAGCACTGAGCCACCAGAGGCAGCGAGAGTACCCCAGAGCTCTGAGCCCCCACAGATGGTGGGGGCCCCCAGAGCTCTGAGCTGGCCCCCGCAGCTGCCTAGCCACTGGGGATGGTGTGGGGACCCCACAGCTGTGCTCCCCATTTTGTCATCGATATTTTTAATAAAAGTCACGCACTGGTCACAGGCTTCTGTGATTTTTTCTTTATTGCCGGTGACCTGTCCGTGACTTTTAGTAAAAATATCCATGACAAAATCTAAGCCTTGTTCCATGGTAAATAAGGGAATAGGAGGCATTTGGCTCTTATGCATTCAGACTCTACTCTTTATGTCTAGTTTTTTGCAAAAATGTTCATAACTTTATTGTTCTGAGAAAGCCAGGACCTTTGATAGCCTAGGAAGAAGATGGGCCACCAAAACATTTGGTTGAATCTCTGCAAGTCTTTGCAAACCATGAGCTAGGTCTATCTGCATTTAATTTTATGTATTCAGGAGGTGAAAACTGAGTGGCTTAGCAAACCATGTCAAATACATGAAAAGAATTCAGCAGAAATTCATAGTAAATTGGATGTGATCCAGGCCACAGTGACCTCAATTGAAATTGAAAAATTCACAGGAGACTGATTACAGAAGTAGGAAGTTAAAGATATGAAAATTGCTCTTGATGGACATGACACAATTTTAAATCAGAATACTAAGGATTCTAAATCCATAGAAAAATCAAAGTGATGGCATTGAGGGAAATGGGGAGACGTAGGAGCAAAGTACATTGGGTCTTCCTCAAGGAGTAAACGTAATTTTCCAGATTGGGTTAAGAGTGGGGGGCAGAAAGGAGGAATATTTTTATTAAACTTTTTATGTCATTCACCTAAGCAGACCAATCAATATCTAGATTCAGATCTAATAGAAGGTGGGTCACTTGACAAAGAAAACATGGGTCTGAAACAGTCTCAACTGTTTAACCCTGACATAGCAAGTAATAATATTGCTTACTCACATTAAAAACCTGATCTGCTCATTCTTGAAAAAGGCCCTGAGATTTAATACAATTAATACTTTAAGAAAAAGTTAGTTAAATAGTGGAGGTATGTTTATTAGAATCCCTGGTCTCAGATAGTTGTAAATTTTCCACTTTAGGATTTATTGTTAGGACATTACAAGTAGGCGTAGGGGTGTGGGTGTGGGTGGGTGTTGTCACTTTCCAAGACTTTGAAATTTTTCTCATTGCCATGCAGGTTGGAGAAACAGCTGAGAAAGTGCAGGCAATGATGTTTCTCCAAGCAGCGTATATATATATATATCTTGAAAACAACAACATGATAAAAAAAAACAGAGGCTATGATTTTCAAAAGAGTCCAAGGAAATTTTATATGGTGGCTGGTATTAAACCTAATAAGTAATAATTAATAATAATTAATACAGTAATATTTCACTGTAAGTAATGTAGTTACATTTCTCTGTTTCCCACCCTGACCTAAAGGATAATGGGGTTCTGCCTTGAAAATCTGCACATCTCAGTGGATGTGCTCAAGGGACTTCATGACAGCTCTGGAGCTCTCAGTGTGCCCGCCTCCCTTGAACTCCATGTTTTCATTGGTTTCAACTTTTTTTTTAATATTCATTTATATACTATTCCTGCTCTTGAATAGGAGTAAGACCTCAGTTCATATAAGCATATTTAGTCCTACCTCAGCACGGGGCGGGGGGGGGGGGCGGGGGAGGGGAATGGACTAGGTGACTTTGAGGTCATTTCCAACCCTACATTTTCTATGATTCTACTTGTAAGCTGTGAACCCAGAATTGGGAAATAAGGTATTCAAAATCAGACATCACCCCTGCCACATTGGAGAAGAGCATCAAGTTACAGGCTCTCAGCCTGAAAACGTTCACACACATGCTTAACCATATCACATGACTGGGGTGTGTAAGAATAGGCAGGATCAGAACCATAGGAAGGTGGGATTTTCAAAAGCTCTCAGTATTCTCTTTGAAATCAGTGGCAAAACTCCCACTGACTTCACTTGGAATATAGTTAAACCAACGCTGAGTCCTTCTGAAAACTTCAGCCAGAACATCTATGCAAAGGAGATGATGGAGAATGAAAGTGACTATGCTATACTTATATCAAATCCCAACAGACTCAGAGATTTTTCCAGAAACCCAAGCAAACTCTGATCAAGCCAAATGCTCATGCAGTTAATAAAAGGGTTTTGTTTTTTCTCATAATAAATATTAAGAGAAAATATTACATAGGATCAGAAGTTATCTAGTAAAGCAAAGATGAAGGAATTATTCCTTCCAAATTCACCCCAATTTGAAATGAAACAAGTCCACCAAAATATGGTGTCACTTTCCAAGAATTTGAAATGTTTCTCATTGCCATTCAGGTTGGAGAAACAGCCGTGAAAGTGCAGACAATGATGTTTCTCCATGCAGCAGGTCCGGCAATATTTTATATATATAATGCTCTGAAAAGAGATACACCCTCTGTCCTGAAATCATATTTTCTACTGCTTTGAGTTCTTACTTGGAAACATGGAAGGCATCTAGTCATTCCATAGTTAAGCCTATGAATAAAAAGAAGGAATTGCCTATATCCTAACATTCTAAAAAGAGACACAATTAAGAGCCATCCGAGGAAGACTATAACTATGCAAACAAATGTAATATAATGAGCACAGGAGTGGGAGCTGGTTTGGGGCAACATTTAATGAGTCAGATCCTGAGCTGATATATATCTACATCTCATCATTGATTTCACTGATATATGCCAGCTTAGGTCCTGGCCCAGTATCTCTGTGGGTATTTCTACACTGTAGATGGAGGGAAAACTTATAGCACGTGTAGATATACCTGATCTAGCTTTAATTTAGATACCAATAGTAGTGAAGCTGCGGGCAACCCGTACTTTAACGCCAGCAATATAAGCCCTCCTGGACCCTGGGTAATTACTCGGGTGGCCAGCTATGCTGCTGCGGATTCACTGTTATCAGTACTTAAACTAGCTAGATTAAAGCTAATTTGGGTATGTCTATGCATGCTGCAATTACATTCCCCACTTGTAGCATAGATATACTTTAAATTTCAGTGCCCACCCCTCCCCCAAGTAAAACTTTGCATAATGCCTGCCTATTTACCTCACAGGGGTTTCACAGTGATTACTTCTTCAAAGAGCTGTACAGAGATTTACTAATTAAAGCACTATATAAAGGGTAAGTACTCTATTCTTGGAAGGAAGATCTTCTACCGTATCTCCGAAGAGCTTCTCCAAAATATGTATGTGAACAAACAGTGTCGTAGCTGATGTTATGTAACAGTTTATTGAGCAGGACATCACAATTAACAGTACTGAAGAAATAAGAGGCAAAGTATCCACAGTATCAAAACTAAGTCCTAAAATAAAATTATTGCATGTGAACAAATTTTAAACACTGTCCATTGATTTTTACACACACACACACACACACACACACACATACATATATAAAATTCAGTGCGACTACATTATGCATATATATTAGACAGGAAAAGCAATTATAACTGAACATAGGTTGCAATAAATGAGGGGGGAAAGGCAAACAATTTTCTCTGTCTAAACAGATACTAACATGAGATGTTTACTTAATTTTATCTAGGCAATATCTCTGGAAATTAAAAAAACTAATGAATGTAATTACTGAAGCATAAGCAAAAGAATATTAAAGTCTGGTGTAATTTTTCATTGTATTGAAGGTTTAAAATTGTTTTCCTTCTTGATTCTACAGTGCATTCAAGGAAAGTTACTAGGGTTATTATTATTATTCAGTTTTGTATATAGTTAGAGAACAATCTACATACATAAATTCACTGGGGAGTAAAGCAAGCAACAAACTATAAAAGCTCAAAAATGATTGTTGCAGAATGTGCTAGAGTGTTTTAATAACTGGGATGAGACTTTTTATTAATGATATGCAGAAAAAAAGTAGTGCTTAGGATTGCTGGCAATGAAGCATTAAGTTTCATTTTGTTACTACTAAAAACTCACTTTGCACTATTTCATATCAAAAGCTCTTCAGTTTTAAAATGACTAGTATGACATATCAATTATTGCAATTTGTAAAAGTCTAGTATCCGGCCATTTAAGGCTTATTTTTGACATATAGATAGTCCCGTAAGAAGTTGGTAACAAAAGGAAGAAATTTTAACATGCACTATAATTAACTTTTTATTTATATTTATTTTTACATAAATTTATGGTTTTAATTAGTAGAAATTTGAGGCTGAAATTAAAAACTTAAATGATTTTTACACTCACTTAAATGGATTATTTATATGTTCATTTTATTGCACTAAATATACTCTCCTGCATATCATTGTGGAATGAGAACAGTTAATTGGAGCTCCTAAACACCTATTAAAAAATCCCAACCCTATATTTATGTTGAAACACAAACTTTCAAGTGACTTTTTATTAGCACCACACCTGCACTAACTTAAACCACCACCAAACAATGAAGGATTGACATGCCAATTTACTTCCACACAAAAATGTGCATTTAACTAGGGTGACCAGATAGCAAGGGTGAAAAATCGGGACGGGGGTGGGGAGTAATAGGTACCTATATAAGAAAAAGCCCCAGATATCAGGACTGTCCCTCACCCTACATTTAACATCTTTTGCATCAGGGGAAAAAGAGGAACTTAATTTTCTACAGAAGCAGCAATATTCAAGTCAACATATTTATTTGAGCAGACAGAGAAAATGGCACTATATATTTAAGACGTGAAAGAAAATGCATCTCCATAGCTTGATAGGATTATCAATTATAATGAAAAAATGCAAACTGAAGACAAACATTAATCTCATCTGTGGATTACCAATTATCAAGATTTATCTTTTGTCCAAAAACTGCAGTCAGGTCATGGGGGATCAGTAGACAAGACCTACTTCAATGGGAGTTACAGGTACTCAAAACTAGATGCTATATTACCTGAAGATGACTGCCTGATGTGGAGATAGGTATGGTTTTAAGATCAGTCAATACCTGTCATGGGATGAAGGACAAAATGGTGATAAATAGAAGAGTTAAAATGAGACCTCAGAATAGAAAAAACTAGCATTTCTCATCTGGGCTGTGGACTGACATATATTTCTCTTCCAAACTCAACCCACTCAATCATCTGGCTTATGGTGCCTAGCAGTGCACATGGATCAGTAATGGCAATTTTATGGCACTAATTTGTTTGTTTGTTTTGCCCTCAATTTATAACTATTATAAATCTCCTGAAAACAAGTTACCATTCATAGGCTTGTTTACTATAACCAATGGAGATGCTGCTATGTGTGTTACCTTTTGATGTCAAAACTAGTTTGAGAGTCTCTGGGTCTTGCCAAAACCCAAAGTGAAGATGACCCAAACTGGTGCAAAATATAACACACATTACTGATTTGTTGTTGATTTTTTTAATTTACACATCTCTCAAACACATCTGGCTTCCATGAAGTTGTGAGGAAATAGCAGACAGACTATATTATTGAAGCATATAAGTGCAGCCTCAGCAATATAAAACACAGAATGCAATCCAGGGCATTAAATGGTTTAATTCCATTTTTTGTGCTATAACTTTAACATGAGGTGCTTTTAGACCTGCAAGGACCTTCATTGGGTTTCCATGCAGGCACAGGAGTTCACACAAATGGAGCTTTTTGCATGATCAATGATTAGAAACAATGACTCCATATAACAGCCCATTCCCAATCATCAGTCAACTCCAGGTTCTAGGACATAAACTCTGGACACTAAAATATTTTGCCCCTCTCAACAGTAATAGTTTATTATTAAAAAAAGAAATTAATTACTTAGAATTAAGTGTCCCGTGCTGCCCAACTAATGTAGCTGTTGTGTATTGTTTCCATTATCTGCATTCAGTTCAATATAGATAGAAATAAGTCTACAAAAATAACTTGAGGTTTGTTCACCCAAATGAGTATAATTTTTTAGTGTTGGAGCAGATATGAAACTATTAAAGGAAAACTGCAAAGTAATGTAAAATATGTTCTAATCACTATCTCTAATTAAAAGGGGCATAACGAGTTAACCCCAGGATCATTCAGAATTTTTTGTATCTGGTGATAAAATGATTTCACTCATTTTATTCATCTGCAGTATTTTTCTATCTGTAATATGTTCTATAGTAAAATGCCTGGTGTTATATGACCATCTTTCTAAGCATCACAGAAGGAGTTAACTGCCATTTCTAATATCACTCAGCATGTCACCTCACTCTCTGAACCTGCCCCCAAATGTATTAAATTTGTATTATAATAGCAATAATGAAATTGCCCTTAACTTTATTCATCAAGAATCCAATTCTCTTGTTGTGCTAAACCAGGTGGCCAAAGGACAAGTTGTTATTCACTTAAGAATCAGATTATTGCCGAGGAAAATGGAAACACATTGACATTATCATGTAAATCCAATTCAAAGCTCTTTAAAAAAAAATATCAGTCTGATAATCTCCATTAGCCCTATTTTGAAGGATAGTAAAATAAGACATTTTCAAAAGTATTTGTGAGATAAAAGGTATCTTTATTGCTCTTTAAAAAAGCCGGTTAACTTGGTGATATGAAACAAACCAAAACATAAACAATAATAGAATTTATCTTGCAATAGATCTGAAGGAAACCTGGTTTCACATGAATTCAAATGGAATCAGTTTTACCTGACTGCTAAGCTACATGATCAGATTGGCTCTTATACTTACGGTGGGAATCATTAGCAAAATGTAGCTGTGTCAAAGAGAGCATTCTGAGTTATGAAGCTGGTTACGGCAGGGAGGTTCCTGTCTTTCTCAGAAGTGTTTTGAAAATACATTATATTCAGAATTCTCTCATTCTGAAGTATTTGTACACATCAAGGGTGAGGGAGAGGAAATCCTGTGGAAGCAGAGGGACTGGGGACTCCCACATGTTTGAGAAAAGATTTGTGCAGATGTTTAGGATCTGCCAGAGGAATAGAGATATTCACATAAAGTCTCTGTATTTACACATCACCTATGGACTTGTGTCTGCCAGTCCCCTTCCTCACTTGGTTCTAATGTATCTGCAAAGCAATGGGAACCTACAGAAACATGTGTCTCTGGAACCCTCCTTTCAGGGAAGTTTTCATGTAAGGAGGGGTTTAGGGTCTGTATTCCATTTTGCATGAGCTCCTGTGGGCAGGGCAGGTGCAAGGAAGTTTCATGCCCTAGGTGAAACTTCCACCTTGCGCCCCCCCCCGAGCCCTGCAGCAGCTCCCCGCCTCCCCCTCCGCCCTGAGGAGCCTCCCCCCACGGCAGCTCCCCCCTCTCTGCCCTGAGGCACCCCCTCCGCGGCAGCTCCCGCCATCCCGGAGAGCCGTGAGGCAGCTCCCCACCCCAGCTCACCTCTGCTCTGCCTCCTCCCCGAGCATG